CGATAGATCTCTCTAGACCGTTGATGAAAACTAAGAACAAGCGAGGTCCAAGTACCGGACTATGCGGTAAGCCGAGCTCCACTCGAATCGCATCGGACAGAGATGTTCGGACTCTAACATCCAATTGCTATTCGCGAAGAAAGCTACCAACCCATCCTAGTCCTGAATCGCGGTCACCGTAGACGCCCATGGTCGTCTTACCCGCAACTGCTTTATATCCTTCTTTTGCTGCTACCTTTTATTAACACTATTTTTAGTTACAGCCGTCCCAGAATGACTCAAATGTATGTGCGGAACAGTTGGAGAGGAGAATATGTAACACAAAACCTGCTGTTAGCATTGGGGGACTTGAAAAACGGCATTTCTTTGAATAAGACTCCTAAGTAGTAGTTCAACATTGACTTAAGAATTTTAAGGCGACACAGAGACGAGATAGTAATGGCATTTTCCATTGTTATTTTCTGTTTTTCAGGTCTTTGCACTTGGGTACGTGTTTCTGGATCGCTTCAGAACAGTACTTTAGCCGAAGTTGGAAAAAGCACTTTTCAAAACATAGAGACTGTGGAAGCACTGCTGTTTGGTTTGACGACCATAGACGTTCTACATATAGCATATAACCTCGCGGAAAAATGGAACCTACCTCATCCATTTAATAAGGACACTAAACCTGCAGGCCGAATTTGGATAGAGGGATTTCTAAGATGAAATCCTTCTATTTCACTTAGAAGTCCTGAGGTAGTCAATCTTTCTCACGCAACTGGATTCAACAAAGCAAAAGTGAAGAGATTTTACGACAGTCTGCGTAGTAGTAGGATTTGGAATATGGATGAGACTGGTTTTTCGAATGTTTAAAAACGAACAAACATTTTGGTTCAGAAAGGGGAAAGCACCATAGGAAACATGAGATATGCTGAAAGGGGACAAAGTGACAGTCATTTTTGCTTTTAACGCGATGGGCACATAAACCCGGCCAATGTTCAAATTCCCGAGGAAACGGTGGGATCACTATCTGCTGAAGGGAGCACCTGCGATATCAATTGTCTATTGCTGGGATAATGGATGGTTCGATGCTGAGCAATCTATAAAATGGATCAAACCTTTCATTGCTAATGTTAAACCATGGAGGACAGAACCTTCTTTGTTAATACTCAGTGGCCACCAAAGTCAGAAGACTCTTGTTGCTACAGAATTGCCGTCTGCTTGCTATGTTACTTGTGTTGCCAGTGAAGCCTTCACCCCACGACCGCAAGAAGAAGTCCAAAGACTAGCCGGCAAGAGAGTTGTGTACATGAAATCACATTTGCTTATATCGTTTTGAAGGCAAAATGAAGGGAAGCTATTAAATTACACTTGAGACAACCAACAGAAGGAAAACGTCAAATGCAACGGCGACTAAGAAATCGTGTACTAAAGAGCGAATCGCATATGTCCTTAAAATTATCATCATGGAAATCCAAGCGAATATCCCTTTACAGTGACGGGCACTGACCAATCAGAATAACGGAATGTAGCGTTTAGACAAGTGTCACGAAACACAAGAATAAGAAATGCAGACCCAGAAACTAAAAACGAGTACAGTAATTGTGTGACAGTATAATATTCCTTTAACAGAACCAAGTAGAAAAGTGATGCGGTGAAAGCCAATGGAATGTTCTTGTAAATGGCACTGCTGAAGAGGACACGGTGATCAGCGTCCATTAACAATAACGTACGTGTACCAATCGGGATAGCACAGCGGAGTGTTTAAATTACAGTAAGAAGTGGAAAATAGGAAGAAGAATAAAGGATGGCTGTTAAGCTCATTCACAAGAGATGAATGTCAAATAGCTATTCTCGTAATAATTATTATGCTGATATTGCCACCACATTGTACACATCGGTTCCGGCCTTGCGATTTCACGTTTTACATGCCCTGGATTTCGGCATTCAATATCTTTGCTGATCAGTGGATGAGAAATCAACCTCATCAACCAATTTTGTTTTTGGATCTGGTGTGCTTGGTTGGACAAGCCTTCAACAAACCAGCAACTGTTGTTGTTGCTACAAAGGGCTTTGAGTTTTGCGGAAGTTAGCCCTTTAATCCCTGTGTTTTAACAAGAGGAACTTCAATGCTACCAAGTTTAATGGGTCACAGGATATTTGAGTCGATCAACTCATTCTTCTCGTCGCGTTTAACTGCAGCTTAAATGAACTCCTGTATGTAGTATTGTCATTCCAACCACGGTATTTATAGATCATGACCACATGCCTCCATCTTCAGCCACGAACGTATCTGCTTGCGGTACGTCTGCTATTTCAATGTCAGTTGACGTACAAAATCTCCAGTCTTCTGCTACTACCACGCGGTCATTGTTGACTGCTATAGGTCACTGAAGACTTGTGTGCCACACCAAAACAGGCAACTCAAGCAAGCAGAAAGAATTACCGTAAAAGTAAAAATGCCGAAATAAGAACCTCACTAATTATAGGTTCATTATAATGGAACGAAGGCAAAGCAGCAGCAGCAGCAAGGAGGTAAGAAGAGGGCCGAAAAGTAAAGAAGTCCAAACCGTCCTCTTCATCATACGAGTCCGATGAATGGCCGTGCTTTTTCTGTGGGAAAGAAGTTGTTCGCAGTTGACCTGGTAAAAATGGGATCGCCTTCGGTGTGTGTCAAATGTGGGCCCAGGAAGATTGCACTTTAAGAATTTCTAAAGTCCATGTGTGCTACACTTGTGCATCAGACGATAATTATTAACTCTTTGGTTTGATTTAACAGATCTAAGCATTCCGGAACGGCAAACAGTGCCTTTCAATTTTAAAGTCTCTACATCGTATTAATAAGTAACCAGCTGGCTATCCGCTTGTGTATATGCACTGGCTGTATTACAATGTGATATATCCCTATCTTCAACTGTTCTTTGCATATGTGCATGTGCAGTCTTAAGCGGTTAGGGAGGTGGTGCGGTAATATGCCCACTGGTGGGCCTCTTACCCCACATGCGTGGACGTTTTATCCAGAGTGAAGGGTAAGATGCCCGCCCCCAGAGAAGAACTATTCTCATGTAAATCGTTTCAATCGCTACAGACATTGCTCATAGTGAATAAGTATGGTAAGCCAACGGTGCGCCAGACGGAGCAAAGTAGGGACTTCACAAATCTTGCAAATGAAGCGGAAGTTTTTTGCGTAAATCCTTAAGGGGGTGCTTCTTGCAAGTTTCCCCCTATATCTGCATTTCTCTAGTATGCAAGAATTTTTTTGCTGCAAGAGGGACAGCTCACTACATGTAGCCAGGAACATGTGCATGCATGATTAGGATGAGAACTAGTTGTTGGCTTTGTTCCCGACACATTATGAAAAACGTGGTATCGATCAGTGATGGTTCTATGTATGTGCATCTATTCTAGCTTCCCATTAGTTATATATCTTTTGCATCCGTCTATAGAAATCCATCTGGCCGCATTCCTGAAGAGAACATAGTGCTCGTCAACTTCGATTTGAAAAGATTGCAAGTTTAATGAAGAATGTTTTTAAATTTTGCACGGAACCTGATTGTGTCTGACCGGCTATTTCACAATAAGGTGTATTTGACGACGACGAAATTTGGAGCGGGCAGCTGTCCTGCAGGTTGGCACAATCTGAGTACGACTTTTGCTTCGCAAACTTTGAGTAATTTGTATATTGCAATTTTAATATAAACAAATAGGAGGAGGTCCCCTGGCGTATGCAATTGTTAATAAGCGTCAAGTTATGCAATTGGCGCTGCATACAGAGAGGTTTGAGGTGAAGCTGCTGGTAACGTTACCGATGTTTCCAATTAGAAGTCTCTCGGTTTGCCACTCATCCGCAAACACCAATGCATATTACTGCACTATTCGGGGGTTAAAAGCTCGATTTTGGTAACGATCGCATGGTTTCTATAAGTTGTGTTGGCCATAATCCGCTGCCTTATACTCTTGCATGTTTGGTCTTTCACTGGACTTTCTGAGTGGAAATCTAGGTAACAGCAACAATCGGTGTGCCACGCCGAACTCCCTGGCTAGTGTACAAACGGTTGCTCTACTTCACGGGCGGAAATTTGTTTTGTTGAGTTATTCACCATGACCATGCGTGCATAGGCGTGTCTCGTATTGTCAGAGAATAAAGAATTTATTTATTTTTTTATTCTACACTATGGGATCCGTCAGTTTGTTACTCATAATGAACCACTGTTTCCATTGTTTCCAATTCCTAGGAAACGAACGCAATTTGTGCCCCCTTAATAAAAGTTCGTATGCTTGGTTTGACTCGAAACGTGTTGTCTACGAAGATTACATTTGACAAGTCTCAAACTATACTGCTATCTATAACAGCCGAAACACCTAAGGTTAATCCGAAGACGAAAAGTGTGAAAGGCAATAACGAAGGGTTGCCACGGAAGCGGTGTAGTGCTCGTCCCCTCATGGCTGAAATCACTGCTTATTACTGGGAGCATGTTTGGTGTTGCCCACTGTCGTTGAGTAAAGATTCATTGCCGGTCTCGTACTGGTCTGCATTAGTTAGATGGAGAAAGTTACTGGAACCAGTTTCATGAATACTACTAGCAGGTGCGGTTACCTGCACACGGATCAGCCACGGGAAACACGTCACAACGGTTAGTGATTTTTTTATTTGAAGTGCTGTAGTATGAGTAGATTTCGACAAGAAATTTCATTCCCAGCAGAGATGCACGGCAGCGTTAATCGTGTCCTAGGCTGAGACTCTGTGTCGCAGTCCACTTGCGCAAAAAGCACAAATACTGAGCTAACAATACCCCACCTCCAATAATTATTCAGGGGCGTCGGACTAGACTGCCTTGCATACAGTTCAAGCAGGAGGGAACCGAAATTACAAGTATATCAGTGTCCGCTAACCAAGGTAAATGCTTCAGTTGCATTCGCACGAGATCCATTAATCGTCGCAGGTTAATATCATGAAATCTGTGGTATGGTGCTGTGTGGGGATAGGCATGGGGTGCTTTGGTAGACAGGATACAACTTACTTTCAGCTTTGGCACTCTGCGGATGGTCTTCAGAGGTCGAAGCACTCGGAGCACACGGAGTGCTTTGATAGTACTCAGGTTTTTGCTGAAAGCACAGAACGTGGTGTAGTTCAATAAACGACATACACAATACAACCCTCAACTGAGTTGTAACGGCAAATGCATTGCACTTTAAATGCAAATTTGAGGTATCCTATATACAACTGATTGGTGACGGCAACAACTGATTAACTACACGGTACCACAGTACCAACACTGGGACTATAGTGTTTGGGTTCAGCATTAACACTAGTATATATGTTAGCTGCAGGCGGAAGAGAACTACTGTACCGCAATAAAAAACACAAGAAAAATGTGCAACAGTACCACGCCGGTTGAGTTACCAGTAACGGATGGACACTGTTCCGCAGAGCTAACAGCTGGCTATTGTGCCGCAACGGAGTCCTCTTATCCCTAACAACTGAGAACGTGTTTGGAATGGGAGGCTAAGCGGGAGGGGACGGACAAAGAAAGTCCCAAAAGAAACGCCTCTGAGGTCGGCTTCTACCCATGTCAACAAGTGTCTTCAGCCAAACGTGTCCATTCTCCTTCCGTCCACAACCGAGCCGAGACGGTCCAACCGTGGCCAACTTCGAAGTAAGAGCTTTCATTCCTCTCGACCAAGTCATCGCTTGGCCACCTCTCCTCTTCTTCCATCCACACGCCACGCGCGCAAACAATGCACCTCGCGCGAGTCGGTGGCTGGCATGCGGAACACCTGGCCGAGCCATCGGAACTTGCTGCGTGAAATAACGGTGCTGAGCGGTTCGCTTCTTCTTCCTGTGCTATAAACAAGGCGTCGAACACGTTCATTGCTCACGCGGTGTTCCCACCAGATGTGAGCTAAATTTCGAAGGCACCGGTGGCCGAACGTAAGTAGTCTCTTTATGTCCGTTGATCTAATGAGCCAGGTTTCACAACTGCACAGTAGGGTCGAACGTACGGCTGCACTGTATACTCTACCCTTCAGGGCGTGCGTGATGTCGCGCCGGCGCCGTAAGTGGCGAAGGTTAACAAAAGCGTCTCGTGCTTTTGCTAGACGGTTTGTGACTTCGTCTTTAATTCCAAGGGGCGTTGATACAACTACCTAGGTAGCTGAACCTTCGAACGACTTCTAGCTAATTCCCACCAAGGGTTAGCGTAGGAGGTGGTTCCTGCCAATCTTGGAGGAATGCTTTGCACTTCGAAGGTGCAAAGCAAAGCCCGAAGTGACGGACAGCCAGTGCTAATCTGTCCAGTGCCGCTTGGCACGCTTATGAGCTGTCACATATTAGGGCAATCTGGTCAGTATACTTCAACTCAAGAAGTCGTTCACGTGGTAGCAGCTCTACACCATCGAAGTCGTGTCTTATGAAGGCTACCTCCATGATTTTCTCAATAGCGAATTTGAAGAACAGAGGTGACAGCGGGCATCCTTGTCTCACATCGCTGGAGATATTGAAGGGCGACGATAGCTTGCCGTAAGTCCTCACTCTGCTCGAGCTGCGCGTGTAAAGCACTAGCCTAATATTTACATAATTCTCGGATACACCTTTCCTTAGCAGACATCGATCCACCGAACCGAAGGCGCTTTTGATGTCAAGAAACTCATTGACGGTGGGCCGCCAATACATGTGACGGTGCTCCAACAACTGACATAATATGAATACGTGATTGATGCATTCCCAACCACGATAAAACTCGGTCTGCTTCTCACGAATCTGGCTTTCACCATCGCTAATCAGTCTGTGAAGGGTTACGAAAGAAAGCAATTTGGAGGCAATGGGGATCAGACTGATTTCTCTATGGTTGCCTCATTCCCAACACGAGCCTCCTTTGAAGATCGGGACAATAACGGAGCGCTTCAAGTCGGTTGGGAAAGTGTCCGGCTCCCACACTTTCACTAGCAATTCGTGAAAAGCATCAACAAGAGCAGAGTCCCCAAATTTGATGAGAGCTGGATGAAGGTCATCTGATCCCGAGGCTTTATTCAATTTCAACAGTCCTATCAGATGTTGGAATTCTGAGCGAGAGGGCGGTTCCGAAGGGACGCCCCAGGGAGTAGAGCGATCACTGGCCAGCGAGAAACGTAACAACTCTGGCCGATTAAATTACTTTTTAAAATGCTCAGCCCAACGCTGCAAACGTTTTGACAAATTGTGGATAGGCTGCCAATCTCGTCACATATAGTTTCACTAACACCAGATCCCCTGCTGCCCGTTTCCCATATCAGACGGAATAACTTCCGATGGTTACCAAGGGCAGCGGCCACCTCCATCTGTGAGACACGATGAGACCACGAAGACTCGCGTTTTCTCTTCAGACTGGCACGGAATCATGCCCTGATGCCTTTACGAGTCTCGTTTTGGTCGCTCCCAGCCGGAACGCGCCGGCAGGCATCGATACTTTTCCGAGACTGCGAAGCTACTCAATGTCCGTTTTGACTGGTAGATTGTCCACATGATAATTTACTTGCTTATAGTAACCAGTAACTTTTACCTGTATTCAGTGAGCGCATGCTCTATCTGAATGCCAGGGTATTTCGACACGCATTCAGAACATCCGGCTTCGCTAGGTGACTGGCGTCAATGCGCTCACAGGGTCGTCGTGGGCGTCTGCCATAACGCACCTGCAGATCAGCACATAGAAGTGCACGCTCAGTGTCCACACATGTACTCCAAATCGAGCGACCGTTTTGGAGGCAACAACAACAACAACAACAACAGTTCCAAGTAACTACTTGCCATCAGTGATGCGGGAAAACTATGCCAGGGAAATATGGCATTTAAGTAGTTTGTTTTAATTCAATAATGAGGCTAAAACCTTCCATCGCTATAGGCGAATACTGGCGAGCCGTGAACTCAAACGATATCTTTAGACGGAAATAGAAACAAGGTACTTACGCTGTGGAATGAGCCTCTTTTCCTCCAAATGCATATGACCTAGAAGCAGGGAACAAAATGAAGAAACATTCAATGTATGAAATATATAATTTCCTGTCGACATCTACGATGCGTCACAACAAAGATAAGTGTCTGGGAGGCGAAAAATGACTCCCAGTTTGACATTCGGGGTAGAATTTTGTTCGTTTTCAGTTTAAGTCATCTGCAACGTCTGAAACGCTATTCCTAAACCAGCATTTACCACAATTTGCTATTTACTCATGTTTATCATGAAAGCGGGTTTTCTACTTTCCTGAGGATTACGTTGACTGCACGATATCTGTTAATTACGAACGTTGTAATCTCGTCTGAAAGTAATACCAGAATGAGCATCACAGATGTATTGCTCGTCAATTCACGCATTGGGGGACTGTGTCTTGCCATCATACGCCTGTCAACCAACACAGCTACAACAAGCCGCAACTGCTGACTTATCTTGTGGTCATGCGTGACTTTTGGGTGCTGTCCGCGAAGTCGAATTCTGGCATGTCCTACTTCATCATTTCAGTTAAGCAAAACCGCTAAACTTGGATTTAGTTAATTCTAATAAACTATTTTGTTTATCTACTTATCCTTTTTTATTTTATTGTTATCCATCGTGACCTACCGGTTATTAATTTTACCAATATATCAAATATTGGCAAATATTTTCAACCTTGCATTTATCGGTTGACGCAGTTATGAACGAGACTAGGAGGACTTAACCATTGTAAGTAGAGAATTATGAGCCGCTTGCCTGGATGATTATATTTTATGTCCTCTTGAGAGGTAAAGCATAGGGGCTCGTGTTCCGGATGGCTTGTAGCAATGCTCGCCTAGTTTCGGCAGCTGTGGATATGCCCAACTACTCGCACGCGTGCCGCCTCAACCATGACTTCATGCTAATCTGAAATAGCCAATGTCACCGCACGCAGCAGAAGCGTTAACAAGTGGCTTACTCTCCTTGTTTCCTTATCTGGATTACCAGATCCAGGTGGATACCAATTGTTCCATGGATAGTATGGACTTCGTGAATATGCTATGCTTACTAAGTGATTCTAGTAGCACATGGCCCACAACCAAGCCGTCGCGCTTCACATGCATAGAACGCGTGGATCTTCACATGTTGAAAGCCCGAGTGGCTAACAAGTATTTTCTTGCGTACGCGACGGTCGCTTACAAATGCAGGAAAGCCCCCAGGGTACAAGCCACGTATGCTGTCTGCGGGCGCTTTCTTCACTTTTGCTCCCATCCTGAAGACTAACTTTCCAAACGGTAAGGTGCGTGACGCAGAGTGGACCGGCAATAATCGGATTAATGCACTTGCTTTCCGACCTTATTCCGTCGGAGTTATACTGGACATGAGATGTGTGAATGCGGCTGTGGGTGGTGAGCAACCACTAACCCATGGCTCATGTGTTGCCGTAGGTATCTAGCAATAATGCGCAATCTCAGTTAAAGGTAGATTTTTAAGCTAACACAACATTCTGCTGTCCACCGGAAATAGGTTCTGTGAAATGCTTCTGAGTTCCTGCTCGCCACTAGGGATGCAACTGCGATTCATTCTAGACCTGAACACTTCTAAAGGCCATCGTACTGAGCATGGGATAACATACAAGTGGATAGGTTACGTGCACAATCTGTCGAGCATTTTTATATCATTTCACCGCAGAAATATTCTGGACATATCCCTTAATCTGTAATCTTCCGGTGAACATGACTTAAAGGACGCAAAGTGTGGTCCAGCTTAATAAAAGTAGTAACTTGCTTAATCTGGTAGGTGAGCCCCAGTTACTTAACTTTAGGCGAGCAGCAAACCAACCCTTTGTTAAGATATATGAAACCCATCCGGTATTCTGGAATACGTCGTCCCTCCGATAGATTTGGTTGTGCTTTAGGCGAGTAGAACAGCGAATAGAAACAGCGAGTAGAACAAATTATACTTCCGTTGGTTGGCGCTGTGGGATAGTGCACTCAGCTAGCAAATGCGTCGCTCACGGAATGGATATCGAACCATCCCGATTGCGTGGATGAAGCATTTAATGTCACAGTTGTCACGGTTTTCCGGTCTGTTCAGTGAGACATGGGGATGACAAAGTAGCTTGTCGCATCAGAATGACTCATCCACCTCACATGACGTATTGATTTTTCCCTTACGCCGGTGCACAGTTTGTGCCCATCTCCGTAGACTGCACAGGTTAGATCATGCAGCGACTACATTGATGGTGACTCACTGTGTTGAAAACAGCCCGTTTCCGTTACCAATAGTCACGGTCAGTGTAAGCACAATTAGGCACATTAAAGTCCATAAGTTAGGCCGCAACACAAGATTTAACGAACAGCTTCCACAAAGCCTGGCGTACATGTGACGCATAAACAAGATTAGAAGAGGTTTCTATAATAACGACTTAGTCGCTTGATAATAACAAGCGAGGCGACAATATATGGCGTGGCTTTTCCTCTATTTAAGGTATGATTACCTACTTAAACCCAGTCTGCTTGCAGTCAGGAAGTACCCGAGGACAGGTGAATTTCCTGCGACAAATGATTATTGTGTGATGAAAATGTAGACAGACATATGTTAAGCTGTCGACTATGAAAGGAGAACAAATGCTGTTTTCGTGTTATCTGCAAAGTTGCGCTTTCCGATGTTTACTCATGTAATCAGCATTCGCCATCGTGCATTCGATGAATACATAAAAGTGCCAAACGAAACGAATTTATGGCTGAATGAGCTTCTCGTATTAGGAATCGCCGGATCGGCAGAGGGGCTAAAATCGTCATACTAAAAAATTTAACATGAAAAAATTATTTCTGTCTGTATAGGCATATTACTGCTACGTAAATGGACGCAGCTACGATGAGTAGTAAAGAAAGTTGTATACCGGCACGCTTACCGGAAAAAGGAGACTAAAGCTCCGATTACGACGACAGCATCAATGAGATTCCAGCAGTCTCGACAATAGGAGTTAGGATGTAGAAAAACACCCAGATCGATTAACTGAAGAGTGATGGAACATGCGAATCAGTTATCGCAAGTAAACTTCATGGTTAAACTTATAATGAAAATGCTCCATGGCATTCGATAGTAGTCGAATAAACTCGAAGCAGGTTGAGAAGCAAAAGATTGCCAGGAAATTAGCATAAATTCCAATATGACCGTAAATTAGGTTCAAAAATGAAATGTAGACGGTTTCCAGTCCAAGGACCTAATTTATTGGTGTCTGTCATGTCTTATCGTAAAAGCTGACGTCCAAACACTGCGATCGTGTATCCCAGCGTTTGTTTTCCTACACGAGAGCCCACAACGGAGGTCTTGTCAGACCCTAACAGAACTTTTGACTTGTTGTCGGTTTTGATTTAGTCAGGACCAGGGGAAGCAACGTTTAAGCTAGCCCCTCCTAGCTCATACAAACCGGATTTGCACTCATTGACAGGACGGCGTCTCCAATGAACAATAAACAATGAACAATGAATTTATACGGGTTAAGAAGCGTTGCTTTACAAGCCCCGTTGGATAGTTGGTGGGGATATCCACATAACAATTATGTTGAAGAGGATAGTAAAATAGTTAATACTTTAAATACGAAAATAAGGACTTATCGTTTGCTTCGCTGCAGTCCTGCGATCCACTTAGATTCACAACACCCACAGTTAACAACAAATAATTCCAGGGTAAACTCCAGGTGTAGGATGGAGACATAGTGTAAAGCAACAAAGTGTAAGTGGATGAGTGCATCGTCCAACCGTCTTTTAAATATTGTTAGTGTCGGTGCAGAAACAACCGATTCTGGGAGAGCATTCCACGGGTGACAGACACGGATGGAAAAGAAATTTCTGCGGCACTCCAGACAACTGTATTGTTCTGCGAGTTTTAATGAGTGGCCCCTCAGGTTTGTATTGCTGCTGAGTTGCAGTAAAGGGCGGCACACATGATGTGGGTCTCGCAGAATCAAGTATGTCATAATCAGGTCGCCTCGTAGCCTGCGATAGCTGCCACTAAACAATCCTAGTCGTCGCAGCCTCTCCTGGTAGGACCGATTGCGCATTCCAATGACGTTCTTAGATGCCCGGCGTTGTGGCTGCTCCAGTGCATTAAGGTCGTGTTTCAGCCATGGATGCCAGGCTTGAATTGCATATTCGACATGGGGGCGAACATACGCACTGAGCATTTGTCGAAATATGGAGCTGTTTATTTGTCCAAACGCCCGCCTCAACAGCCCAACATGTTGGTTCCCGGTCTTCGAGGCCTTTTCGGATTGCCTGGAGCAACCCAAGTCATCTTGAACCAGGACACCCAAGTCACCTTCGAGAGTTGATTGTTGCAGTATATCCGTTCCGAGTCGGTATGAGTAGCTGCTTTGATGTTGGATGGAAAGCACCTTGCATTTACTGACGTTGAAATGCAATAAGTTTTGGATCGACCAGTGATACACTGTATCTAAGTCACTTTGGAGCACATGTTGGTCGGCGTTCGCCTGGACCCTGTGCCAGATCTTGATCTCGTCGGCAAACACTAGGAAGTTTGAAGCGATTCCCTGTGCAAGGTCATTAATGAACACCAAAAACAAACGTGGACCTAGAACCGAGCCTTGCGGCACACCACACTCCACTTGTATGGGGTCCGATAAAGAGCTCCGAACTCTGACCACTAATTGCCTTTGAAAGAGAAAGTTGGCGATCCAGCTTAAAAGAGGGTCGCCGATCCCGTAATGCTGCAGCTTGGATAGTAGTGTCCGATGGTCTAGACGATCGAAAGCCTTGGAAAAATCCAAGTAGATCACATCAACACCTTCTCCAGCGTCGGCTGCCTCGGTCCAACTACTGCGTGCAATTAGTAAATTAGTTGTACATGACCGCTGTCGACGGAAACCGTGCTGTTTAGGAATGATGAGATTGCAGTTTTCCAGATAGCACACCAGTGCATCGGCAACTATGGATTCCATGACCTTGGAGAGTGTAGGAAGAAGGGTTACTGGGCGGTAGTTGGAAGGATCAGTTCTGCTTCCACCTTTGTGAATCGGGCTTATTATTCCAAGCTTCCACATGGCGGGAACTTGGTTCTGGTCTAAGCAGTGCTGGAAAAACTGAGCTAAATGTCCTGCCAGTTGGTTTGCTGCTGTTCCCAATGCCTCAGGACGAATGGCGTCGACACCCGGCGAGCTGTGTTTGCGTAGAGAAGTCAGCTTTTGCAATACAGCCTCTGCGATAAAATTGATGTGGGTTAGTCCTGGTGAGCAGAATACAAAGCTTGGTAGATCGCTTGGTGGCAAGACCCTTTGAAACGTGGGGGCGTATTGCATCTGCAGCGCGTTTACAGCTTCCATAGACGTTCTTGTTGGGCCATCAGCCGTCTTGAGTGGAGGAAATCCTTGCCTCACCTTTCGTAGGCTATTAACGTGCTTGTACAGCAGCTTGTGGTTAGCACTGAAGGTTTTTGCGATGTTCTGCTGATAGGCGGCTATGTCTTCTCTTAACAGTTGAGTGCAGTGGTTACGTTGGGCTACGTAGTTGTCCCAAGTTTCTGGTGCTGGAGCTTCTCTGTACACTCGCCATGCTGCGTTGCGCACTGTCATCCATTTTCGGGTTCTGCTCCTAACGAAAGAAACGGATTTGCACTTATTGCAAGCTTTTATCTCTGAAGCCTATGCAATCAGCTGACTGAATTTTTTGACGAACTCGAGCCAGGCGACTTCCGGGGGTTCTTCGTCCAGGAAAGACCATGTTGTGGCGCTGACTAGCTGGGCGAGTCGGTCGTACCTTGTGATGGTTCGCACAGTATCATCGTTATCATTCAGATATTCTGCATAGCAGACGAAGTTGAAACTGATGACTGCGTGATCACTGCAACCCAACGGGCAGTCTAAAACCAATGCATCAATCATATGCTCCTCGTTGGTAAGCACAAGATCCAGCACAGATAACGTGTTACCAGTTCTGAACCGAGTGGGCAAAGTGATGTGGTTGTAAAGAGGAACAGTAGTTACTAGATCTTGTAAATCGGTTTTGAATTGTTCTCCGGTCGCGGCAGGGGATTCTAAACAATGTACGTTGAAATCACCTATGATAAGAATGTGAGTGTACTTTAGTTGTAAACTGCACCTTAAAGCAGCCATTAGGTGGTAGTCGGTTTCGGGTGTTGAGTTAGGGGCTCGGTACACCAAGATAATAAGGCAAGCGTCCCTGCCTTTTAACTGCAACCGGCACCAAAGAGTGTCGGGGAACTGCGAATCTGAATCCTCCACGGCTTCGCACTGTAAGTCGTTTCGGTAGTACAGGATTACCCCTCCTCCTTTTGTGAGCCTATCGTTCCGGATCAGCGACATGCCGGGTAGCGAAACTTCAGCGTCCGTCATCCCCGTGTGCAACCATGTCTCGGTGACACCAATGACATCATACGAGCCGGAAGCTTGGCGATCTTTCAGTTCAGCCAGTTTGTTAGAAAGTCCCTGAGCATTTGTATACAAGCAGGCCAGTTTCTCGGTCTCTAGGAGTCCGCAGAGAGGTGAAGCTGTCAAGTGTGGGAGAATGCCGACCGATGGGAGGTCGGCAGTTACTCGTTTTTTTGATGAGTCAGTGATACCTCGTTTGCAAATTGATTCGGCCAAGGTGCGTCCCAGCCTTCGTTTAGAGCTACTTCAGAGTCAGTTAAAGCAGCCGTCAAGTTACACTTCTGTACATTCGTCAGGATGCTTGCTGCTTCAGTTGCTTTAATACTTGAGCTGTGCGAATTGTTTGCGACCTTTAACCGAATTTCGGAGGGAAGATGTTTCCGATTCCTCCGCCATCGATCCAAAACATCCTTTGCTTGTTGCTCTGACTGCACCACAAGTTTTAGGATTCTAGGGCCGCATCCTCTATAATTTGGTGAGAGAGGTATCCTGGTGAGTGACAGTGCCACAACATCATCCAAAGAAAGTGTTTCACGAATGAACCGCCACTGTTCTAAATCGTGCTTTCCGGTATCTTGAACATGGTTAGAAGGATGTTCTGGCACGTCATGTATGAAGATTGTGTTTAGGCGGTCTTGCTTGCTGTGCCCCTCTTCGGTGGTTCGTTTTGGTTGTCGCGCGCTCCAAGGGACATCAGGATAGATACGTATCCCACAGGATTCGTGTTTTAGCGCGCTTGCGGAGAGCAAAACGTTTTCTACGTCGATGGAGGATTCTAGAGTTACTCGAATAAGTCTGGGTTCACCATAGTGTGGCGAGTTCGGATGACGAGTAATTCGTAACAAGTTTATGGGCTTGGCTTTGATACTCATCTGCATACACAATGAGTTCCATTGGTCTTGGTCGTCCGATAACTTATCCCGCAATGTGATGGCGGTAGATTCAGGGACATTTGAGCATACAACAGTCCGGGCACTGTGGTTGGATCCCTTTTTAATCGATCTACAAGGTATGGTACTCATTTGTCTTGACTTGTTGACATGTGATTGTTTGCTGTTTTTCTCTCCATTTGCGTTAACGGTGTTTACAATGGAAGAGGACGCAACGGCGGCCTCTCGGTGGACCCTTGCAGCAATCTCTGCATATGTAACCGATGTTCTGGGAGGCTTAGTCTCGACAAGAGATATTTGAGCTACAGGTACCAAGGGTTGGTGGTTGGCTACTCCATCCTTGTTAATACTAGATGTCAGGTCTAGTGGAATTTGCTTAACCAGACGTTTTGAATGGTGCCTGATTTTCTTTGCTGTGAGTACTGCTTGATTCACGTAGGTACATTCTGTTTTCGCCCGGCGTTCTACCAAAGTTGGAGAAGACAACGGAGATGGAGACATGGCTGATTGCGGTTCAGGCGAAGCGATTTGTTCAGCATTCCTTTGCTTAGCAGCCGCTACGCTTCTGTGGTCCATACTCGCTCCCATTGAAGTAATCTCATTGTTTATCCTCTGCTCCGCTTCTGCGAGTAACCGGTCGCATTTCTCAGCTAGGATAAGCAAGCACTTAACGAGGGGTTGGTGGAACACGCAGTACAGAACCAAAATGCATCTTGGGAGCTATTTCGCTCCCGTAACTGTTGTTGGGACACATTTGCACATTTCGTATGGTACCATTCCAAACAGTGCGAACAAGCTAGACCGATTTTTACTACCCGATGACATTCTCCTAACCCGCAAATGCCTTTCGATGGGAGTCTCTTCGGTTTTGCCTTTCTGCCATTCAATTTGGTGTCGTTACCCGACCCAGTGGGTTGGTTAACGTTCTGTACTTTTACAGCTTTGAGAGCGGCGCACATCGGTCAGGCGAGCGTGGTGGTTGCAAGGTCAAATGAGCGGTCGGCGTGGTCGCGCGGTCCGTGTGATGGGTAATGCAGCCGCACTGGCTGACAAGGTCACAAGGAATGGCGAGTGACTGCAACCTGAACAGAGCGCTGAACACAGATTGACAGAACACTGATTCTTTCACAGCTGTGTTGAGAAACACTGGATCGGAGTAAGCTTAGGCTTTTCGGCCTGCCTCGAGAATTCTGTATCGAATGGTGTCACACAGAATGGCAATCGGCTCAATACGATTGAATTAAACGCTTGCGCTTAATCACAAATGCCAATGAAAACGGTTGGCGATGGTGCAGCCTCTAATCGCAGAAGATATTTCCACGTATGATGGATCACTGTGTAGAGCTGGTAAATCCGGTTCGAATGAGCGCACAGTGACAACGCTGCGAGAAGATGGAGAGGGGATAGAGGGAAATAATCCAAATGAACCAGTAGCACGCACGTCACGCGTGTGTGAGGATGACCTTGACAGGGAATGTCGCGCACAGGGATGTTGCGCACCAGGCAGAAGTCATGTAAGTAATGGAATAATGTGGTAGTTGGAGTTTATAATCCCAATGGAAACGGATGTTACCCAGGCGGTCGAACAATAGTTTTGTTCACACAACTGTACTTATCAACCGAGTAAATTATGTACTGCTATAGATGGGTCGCGCTAGAATTATGTAAATAATACTACTTTTCAGTACTACTGGCCATTGAGACTTGCGCACATTCAGAGGCGTCGAATCACAAGTTAAACTGCTTATTGGTGAAACCCGCATGACAAACGGAACATTTTGTACCAAGTGGAGTCTTTGTGAGGTGTACAGCAACAGCTTCGACTTTAAATCTGAGCGCCAGTATGAGGCTAATTCTGTGGCGGTGAGGTCTAGTTCCTTAGCAGAAAATCTATTTTTTTATCTGAGGAACAACACAATTCACAATTTCATAATCCAAGTGCAAGACGCCATCTGTACACAAGTGCTTACTTTCAACAACATTTCAATGGCAAACACACAGGTGAAGGCGTGATCGAAATATTCCAATAGGCAATTCCGCACGCTGTTCTCCGTGACGGGATCTTCAGCTGCCAGTGCCAGGCTGCTTGAAGCGATGACAATCATAATGAACAAATCGAAGTATCGTAAATTGACCACGAAATGACAAAATTTTCGAACGCTGTGGGTGCAGAAGATGGGATTTAGAGCACAATCAAAACGAATGAAGAGTGTCCGAAGCAGTGAAGATGTACTTCATTCACGAATGCCAAAATAACCAAATCGTAGCACGGGCTGATTAACATATCGACATAGAAAACCCGGTGTCCTCATGATCGGCAAACGCTGATGAATGAGGCCTGAGTGGATGTGCTTTGAAAGAAGTACGGTAACATTCCATTCGTGATCCGCTAGACAGTTGACGGAGTTCTCAATAAAAATACTCTGGTTGCAACTGCTTTTTTGTATGATTGCGGAATGTAGTTCCTGGGACCAACTACATATTTGTGTCAGATCTTCTCTTTGGGATGTGCTTTGAGGTTTCTTATTGATAGCAAGTAGGCTATTTTTCTTTATCTACCATGCCGTAAATATGGAAAAAACAAATCTCCAGATTGTGATTAGTTTAAGCGTGGTAGTCAAAGCGATTAACAAAGTGCACAAAACTTGTTCCGGGACCTCTATTATGGGTGAAAGCTCCCAATATGGACTTACTGACACCCAGGTGGCCGACCACTGCTGTCTGCACCTTGAAGACTGCAAGCTTGTAAGCCATTCCCGATGCGACACTGGTATATTGCAACACCATTCTGTGAAGCAAATGGCTTTTTTCGCCTAACCTGTCATTCTAAGTACACTTTCCCTAAAGGTAAAGAAGTGTTTCATAATCTCCTACTCTTTATCTGCTAGTTTAGTATCCTTTTAAAGCAATCTTGTCCTGGAGATTTAGAAACCAACCGTGCATACGTCATCGGCTGACAAATCAAACGGACCGTCAGTGATGTTATCAGTGCTAATGCAGAAGCTCTGATATCGTCTAACTAGCGCCGCTATGAGAAAATACTATATTGAATACAGAAAATAGGGAATTTTAGGACGTGTTTCTGGCCACACAACCTTTGAGGATGAGTCCAAAGTCATATACTCAATACCTGAGTGTTTCACACAAGGTTTCCGCAAGCAGCTCCTATCCATTGCTGAAGCTATTTACATCTGCCATCCAAAGCCCGAGCTGTGATTTCAAAAGCGGTGCATACCTCTGTTACTACTTCCTTGGCCAACGGACAATAGTACCCAACCATCTGATGGCCATCCGAGATTCTATGTTGTACATTATTTTTGTCTTGCTTACCGTGTACAGTCTAACCTTGAACTATTGATCTTCTGTTCGAACAACCGAGCAACCAATTTTCAGCCCGATTCGATGGTAATAATACCTACTATCCACCATGTAAACATTTAGGTCCGATGAGAGTTTATACGGCAAGAATCCTTAACTCAACAGTCATCTGGTCTTGATTTGATGGCTACTGTGTTACACCACCGAAATATTTTCCAACACAAACGCAGAATAACAGCATTTATTTCAACGCACTTTTAACCTATTTCAGTCGTGCAACGTCCCATTTAGATGCGTTGATTTCTCGAAAATTGTAATTCGCAAGGTGGGCGACTATGAAATATTGAATTCCGACACCAATTTTGCCTCGACTATTGCCACCAGTAAACAGTTCTAATATTTTACCACTCGATGCTAGTAGCATTGAGGGTGAGCTTTAAACATCAGTTTCGGCACTATAAGTTCGTACCGGTGTCCGCAAGTGCTGCTTATTGCGTGTATACGGAGCAGCGGCCTTAGCAGAAGGAAGTCACCCAGAAAGTATGCCTAGTGCCTCAGTATGAAGCCCACTGCAAACCGACGATTTGACAGGGTGTACTGCCCCAGTCCCCTTCAAGTCAGACCCGGCTCTCGCCGAATGCGATGTGCCACAGGTTTCGGTACTGTGGCCTTGTCTATTCTTGGTCTTCATAAACGATCCAGCAAACCAAATTAAGTCAAACTGTTTACTCTAAGTCGATGACATCAATTTTGGTAAGGGATCATAGCTCCAGAAGTCCGTATCCAACTTCAAAACGACCTTGACAAGATTTATGGATGGTCGGTCTAAAAGCGCCTTTCTTCAATGTGGCTAAACGTCTAGCGCTCCATTTACAACACCGAATAGTTCACACATATAAGCTGGGGGACCAGGACCTGTAACACTGTTCTCTCAAAAAGGATCTCGGTATGTTTGTCTAGGAAGATCGCCGCTTCTCGGAATATTCCAAAAAACATCGTAGAAGGGGATCCAAATCGTGGGGCTTTAACGGATAGCTTTCGGACAATACAAACCGTCGATATTCCGCCAAATATTTCCCGCTTACATACGTCCTCATATTGAATATGCAATACAGGCATGGCACCCATGCCTAAAGCGGGCTCTCACGACCCTGGAGATTCTGCAACGTCGGGTGACCAAAAATCTCAAGGGGCTGTGCCGCTTGTCTCTCACCTTCCCTTTCTCCGAGGTCTGGAACTTCTTGGGGATCTGGGATCGGAACGTGAAAGAGCTTGTGCCTGGGACAGGACATAGAACCCCCCAAGGACCTACATAGAACACGGCTGTACAACAAGTGGATAAAAATGCACTCACTACCATGACCGTCGTCCAGTAATGGTAGCTGGACATGACGCCTTCATACTTCTGCGAAGTATACATAATTCTGTAAATTCTAGGAGCAAGAATCGGAAGTTTTGCTCACCTGGACACGAAGATGAAGAAGGTCTAACCCTCCATAGGCCTCAGCCATTATGGCCGCCCCGAGCAAAAATAACCTGTTCAGCTAACAGAGGAAATTAGAAGGCAATTGACGGCGGTTAACCGAGGGTTAAATCAGTCGACAAGCTGCTCTGCCAGTTTTACATTAGTGTACAAACGGATTTCTGACAGTGTTTCAGGACGTGGTGGGTTTTCGCCTGGCAAGCGTTCTCCCTATAAAAAGCCACAAATGTCCGCTTAACAACACTGCGACGTGGCGGATGTGACTCGCCACTGAATAAAGTCACTGCCCACAGCTACATACTGGCAAGCCGACCAGAATCCTAATGTAATATTTTCCTGACAAGTTTTCTCTACAAACGGAATGCCCAGTCTGTTTACACTACGCCCACTAAAACCCAACTTGTCGTCATGTTTTGACGAATTTATACCTCAAGATTAATTTTACAATTTCTAAAGCTTGGACAACTTTCGGCTTACTGCCGATTACATACATAGCAACGTGTTTGTTGCGAAACATAAATTGCTTGTAAACGTTGATCATGCCTGGTCAGGTGTGTCTCGGAAATTCGAGAATATACTATTTATTTATTTATTTATTAACAGCAGCTCAGAGTGTTTGGCATTTTCAGCGGATGTCATCGGCATTTATGTGGTAACCTAATCATGGCTTACCAAATATTAAACAAAACTAGTCACCTGTTGAAGCTGAGTCACAACAATCAGCTGAGAGGTCATCATCTCAAATTGGCAAAACAATATAGTCGATTGGAGTGTCAAACAAATTGCTTCCTGCTGCGTGCTTACCACACAGGGAATACCCTCTTAGAGGCTCTTATTTCAGCCCCATGTTGGCCGTGTTCAAAGCTCGTGTCGACAGTGCACTGGCCATACTACACCATATCACGTAACCAAAACGACCTATACAAACAGTAGCAAAACAAAAAACCAACCCACCTCCATTTTTGCCCGGAAACCATAGACGATGTTTTTGGATAATGCATAAAACCAAGTGTGAACTGCTCAGACGGGAACGCTGTAGTTGGCAAGTTCGCAATTTGCAGTTGTTCAGTATTTCCTATTGCTATTTTTGCCTTCATTTTGCTCACCCCTAACCGATCATCTGGCGGGACATGTCAAACTTCGGCTTTTTTGCTCAGCAATATGCCATTGACCATTGACCATCAGTATTCGTACTACATAGTCCATAAATTGAGGAGGAGTCTCGTGGCAACGTGCTGAGCCTGTTCCAGTCATTGCACCTTGCTGCGCGTAATCGGACAATAAGCGAGTAAGCTGTACCCCAATATTGCTAATAAGATTGGAGAGGATGGACGAGCATCGACCTTTTCAGACAAAGTGCAGGCGCTGCGTTTGAGCACCCAAAGCATGCACTTTCAGCTTCAATGTAACCTGTTCAACTGCATCTCGTAATATGGTAGCACACCTAAGTACTTACGGAAAGTGTATAATACATCGCCTAGCTGTCCAGATTGCACATATGCCCATACCTACCCTTGCTCAAGCTCATAAATAACGATTTCACTGGGTTTAGCGGTAGGTCGACCTCTGCTGACTCAAAGAACAGAGGTCTATGTCATCCGAAAATGCGTCATAATCATCGGAAGCATCGAGTATTCTCCAAATAAAAACGGAAAGTTAAACGTAGTTGAGCACAAATTGCTAAAACTACAATCCAGTTCTCATTAACAAAACACGGAACAGAACTTTCTCATTTGATTATGCATTTTTAACCCACATTCACTCGGTTCCACAGTTTTTGGACGTGTGTAAACGGTGAGTATGTCTCGAATCTGTCCAATTGATTTTGTTGATGGAATTCAGCTAGAACCCGGAGCAGCAACCGTGCAACTATCCGAATTCTGTTGTAGCTATGTGCTACACTGAGATATGTTCTTCGTAGGTAGAATTATATTTGGGCACACATTATTATAATAAGATAAAGACTGGCGCGAAAACTCACGGGTTTGTTGGAGAGAAAATATACATAGAACTGTAAGGAAGCATAGGTTTTCCGTATGAAACTGGCTGAACGATTTCAGGTTGAATTGGTTTTGATCCGAAATCTGAACCACGTCCCGTGCCAGGGTTTAACTTTTGAAACATGTTGTCTGTGTCAACGGGGAAAGTAAGCAGATGTTTCATGACTTTCTTCGGACAACACAACTGAGGTTACTAAGATGAGGTAACTTAAAAGCGAATGGGACACAAACATTAGACTTCTAAAACGCTGTTACATTTATTTATAATGTTTACTAGGTGTCGTATGTAACTGCGGCAGCAAATCCGTTGTAACAATATGGGTGCTTTCCTTGACCCTTTAGCCTAGATTTCAAAGAATGGCGTCGCCTTGAATCCGTACACCAACACAACCGAATACAACAATATTCAGCGGCGAAGGCAGACATTTAAAAGCTATACTAATTCGGATTTCTAATAAGCACGATGACATAGACAGGCTGATGAGAGGAGAAACAACCTTAAATACACGGTAACCTGAAGCGCAACTCCATAGAAATGGAATTTGCACCACTGACCAATGTAGATGTATTAAAATAGGTAAGTTGCACTTTCTAAGATGCTTTGTGAGGAAAACGTGACGAACATTTCGACAACCAGTGAACCAGACCTCTACAAATATCAGTTTGTGGGGAGTAGGTAGGTAAAAATTTATGAGAAATATCTATCGACTGGCGCTTACGATTACTGTGAAGGTTGCTTTGGAGCTTTTCGAGGACAGCATTTTGGATACATTCACTATTCGTCCTGCAAATTGGTGAATTGAGAAAAGAGTTGTTAAATGAAGGAAACAAAATGCGAAAATATGGTACAATTTGCAACCTATAATATCGCGGTTGTCGCCCTTTTAATTTTCATTTACTCTGCCTGTAAAGAGATCAGACGATTCAGCGGCAAAATTTGGTCTAGAATTGGTACATCCATGGAATAGCTACTAACTGATTGTCACAGGCGTTTAACGGTGGTTTTAATCGCTCACCAATGGACAAATCGGTCAATACAATAGTTCAGTTGTTTAGAGCAGACATAACTTTTAATTGGAACAAGGTGTCAGTGTTGATAGTAGCTCATCATTATTCATCACTATACATGTTAGCTAGAGGAGTGAAACACCTCGGCAACTGTGCCGCAATACATTCAAAGAGGGGAAATGCAACAGGTGCAAACCAGCTGAGCTACCGGTAACGGATAAGCATCGTTCCGGTAAACTACAAGCCGGCTACTACGCGACAAAAAATTACTATGCAAAATTATATAAGGCTAAATAGTAGCAGGGGAGTTTAAGAGCAATGGGGTGGGACAAAGTAACTCACAGCACGAAGGCCACTGAGGTCGGCATTGCAACACGTGAACTCACGTGCGGTCGCAAAAAAGCTGTCCTCCAGCGTTATCCGCCTCCAAATCTTTGGATTTATACTCACAGAGACCTACGTGCCATCATTCGATTTGGCTTCGCGAGCTCCTCCTACCACTGTTCATCTATTGGATCTATCATTCACGGATCACCAGTAAACTGTGCTCTTGCAACTTCGAAGTCAACCGTATTTGAAGTTTATCGGATGTTTTATTTTTCCTCTCGTCGCATAAGAACTCTTGTGGTCTTATTTTAAAGATCTTTTTGAGAGTCACCCGATCAGCTTACTACCATTCCTTCAAGTCGCTCTACAAAGCGACAGTCGTCAATTTGATCCGCCCTTGGAACTGCCACTGTCGTCATTAGACAGTATTTTCCAAGTCACCTTGCTTTGCCTCAGTCCTACGTCTCACCACTGCCTACCCTCTACCGTCTGGATCGATAGCACGCGCATCCACCCCAAAGAACGCGTGATTCATCTGGCCTCGACACGCCTGGACCTGCTGACCTCAAACCAGCGCCGATCGCCACGCAACGGTGCGTCAGTATCTCCATCCTATTCCTACCCCTACCGAGAACATGTCACGTATGAAGAGCAAATGCGAATCATGTGCCAAAGTGGTAAAAAGTGGTCTGGTGTGTACCATGTGTTTGAAAACCTACCACACTACCTGCCTTGGGAAGGCGTCCACGAAAGCCAACACCGCAGAGGCGTTTTGGTTCTGCCAAGTATGCAAGTCTATTCCATTTGTTAGCTGTCTATCTGTGCTACTGAAGAGGTGTGAAAGACTAACCGAAGCGGTCGAGCAAATGGTGAGCGCCAGAGTTACACCCATGGGAGGGAACGGGCCTGCACTTGTGAGTGAAAATAACACCCCGAACTCCCTAGTCAGGCCGAAGAAGCGAGCCAGGCGTCCCAACCCAACCCAAACGACTCAGCCTCCAGCAGTATCAACTCCATTCTCTCTCCCTCCTATAAGTAAAAACAGTGCCTGCAGCGCGCCTGCCTCAACTTCTGTACTGTGTGCTGCACCTAGTAGTCTGTTCACTACACTCGAGACTGTAAGCTACAGTCAACCAGAAATGGTGAACCACCCGGCAACGTACGCATCGGTTGCCGCCAAGCAAACACCGAAAGAGCACCGGTAACCTTTGTGCCCGAACTAGAGAAAACAAAACTGCCGCAGCACGGATGGCACACACCAATGCCTTTCATAAATTCAACAAAAACACCAGATACTAAGCCTCGAAATCCAAAACCAGTAGCCACCAGGCGCAACCATGGTGTCCTAAACATTGTATGCACAACTGTCCCCGAATCCAAATCCAATACAATTAAGGGTAAGTTGACGGACGATCGAAATCAGTGGGGTTCCATCTGTACGTCGATCGGTGTCCATGCTAATCCCACGAAATTAAAAAGAATCTCGCGCCACCCAAACGCGTTGCACTACGGCGAACCCCGGTTACTTCGGGTAACACTAAACTCAGCAGACGAGACTGAGGCCGTTCTGCTGTCTGCGAATCGTCTCCGCAACGACTCAAGTGGAGTGCGCATACTACCTGAAATCCCGTGGAAAGAACGTTCAGGGGATCCCGCTAACAAAGATAGGTACAGAATAAGTCAAAATAAGAAAACAGTGATTGCTCACGGTGTTCCTGAGCTTACTGACTCCTCTTCCGACGATGCCCAGACGCACGACCGCGAGCAATGGCACTACATCCGGGAGGTTCTTTCTCTCGAAAATGTGGTGGTCACCTCGATGACAAGGATCTCCATATCACCAAACTATAAAGGGTGCGGTCCCAGGCTCTTAAAACTTGTGTTACAGTCAGAACTAATGGCACAAACCGTACTAGCGAACTGGGTTAAATTCCGTTGCAGATTACCAACAGAAATTCGTCTGAAAGCAGCAGGAACACCAACACCTTCTAATGACAATTCAGTAGAGGCACAACACTTAGTGAAAACACCAACTGCAGGACCCGACTCGGGAACGGTTTCAAGAGTAGCCATAATATCCGGAGGGGCGCAGCAGAGCACGAGCAAACAACGGGATTCGGAGCATCTGATACCTGCTTATATATCAAATACTTCTCGAGAGTATGCAACCCATCCAAAAAACGATTAGCCGCCGACCCTTTAATGGTCGGCGTAAACACATTTGCTTCATCCATCCAATCTAACACACTCTTGGTCTCCGAGAATCTCTCATGCATGTACACAAATGCCCAAGGTCTACTCAGCAAATTAGCTGAATTAAGACTTCGACATGCGTCTGCAGCTTGGGACCTCATCGCTGTCACCGAAACGTGGTTGTGCTGCGAGATAACCGGTGCTGAAATTGCGCTAACGGGCACGTCCGTTGTCCGGAAGAATCGAACCAGCAAAGTTGGTGGGGTAGCCCTTTATTTTCGTAACAACATGCAATGCGAACGCATAAACGATTCGGAAACCGACTTACCTGAGCCATTTGGTGTAATTTCCGGCTAAGAGGGAACGATCTTGGTCTACTGGTTGTTGTTTACCGCGCACCATCGTCTACTCCTGAGATGGACTGCAATTTGATGGCTGCGTTGAGGCATGATAAACAGGAAGTACAGTCACATTATAGTCACCGGTGACTTCAACTTACATGCCATCGAATCCCAGGCCACACCAGGAGAGCAATTCAAAGCAGATTTGCAAGATCTGGTTTCAGACTATCCTCTTTATGGCCACATCACTACGCCCACCAGATTCAGGGGAATTGACAGGCCATCCATTTTGGACCGAATATTCACCAATGAAGAATTAATGGTCGAGAGAGTAATAACCGATACTCATTTGGGCCGCAGTGATCATGCGACGCTATTGTTTCATTACATGTGCTACGCGGATTATTCTAAAGAGCATGCCGAGGAATATCGTGTCATAACCAACTATGAAGACCTGTCCGACCTAATCGATGCAACCAGCTGGTCGTTCTTAGCTGAATTAACCCCCGAGGTGGCCTGCGGTGAATTCGTCAACATATTTACCAAGCTCGTGGCAAGGACATCTGAAACCAAACTCTGCCGGCCTAAAAGGATGAAGTCTTTCGTAAGGAGCAGGACACGTAAATGCATGGAATTAAGCGACTTGGCATGGCACACCTATATAGCCTCACCGAACGCCCATACCTGGGATGACTACACAATAGAAATAAACCACTGTGTCAAACTCGTTCGAGAGGATAAACTTAAGAACCAACAAAGTCTAGCGGAAAAGTTTAGCTCCAATCCCAAACTGCTATACAGACACGTAAACAATTTGCGTCGTGTTAAGCGCGGTATTCCTGCCCTGCACACAGCATGCGGCTTAGCCCAAACCGCACAAGAGGCAGTCAACGTTCTTGGACAACAATTTGGTCGTACCTTACAAAGCGAGCAATCACCGTACATCTTGCCTAAGCAGATAACGCCGCCATCAGGACTAAACCACATATCGTTTACCTCCGCAGCTGTACTGAAGAGGCTGATGTCTCTGCGCGAGTTCAGCTCCCAGGGTGCGAACGGCATTCGTCCAAAGGCGTTGAAAGTTGCTGCCATGAGTTTGGCAGGACCATTAGTAATTTTCTTTCAACGGTGTCTGAACGAAATGCACGTCCCCACGATGTGGAAGCACGGAATCATCACGCCTATCTACAAAAGTGGTAGTCGTGCTGAACCAGCAAATTATCGCCCGATAACATTACTTCCTGTGATCTCCAAGGTTATGGAGTCCATCGTAGCTGAGGCTTAAATGTGGTACCTGGAGAACAACAAAATGCTCGTTCCGGAATAGCATGGATTTCGCCAAAATCGTTCCTGTACAAATAATCCCTTGACTGCTCTTTCAAACTGGACGGAATCTGTGGACGCTGGTGTTGGAATCGACGCGGCCTACTTGGATTTCTCAAAGGCATTCGACCACATAGACCATCGCATTCTCCTCCACAAACTCCAGAAATATGGAATCGGCGATCCTGTTCTGGGCTGGATAGGAGACTTTCTCCTGCAACGTCACCTGAATGTGAGGGTTCGAAGCAACCTATCAGAATCCATCGAAGTTCAGTGCGGCGTTCCTCAAGGCTCGGTACTTGGACCCCGCTGTTCCTGGTCTTCATAAATGATCTCGTGAGTGTGCTTCTTCTAACTGTTTGCTATTTGCTGACGACCTAAAGGTATGGCACACTATAGCTGCAGTGGAGGATCACACATTCTTACAGGAGGACCTGGACAAAGCGTACACATGGTCCATCGACAACATGCTGTATTTCAACGTCACCCGGTGCAAGGTTCTCAGTATACGGCACAAGAGTTTGCACTGCTACCGCCTAGGATCACAAATTCTACAGCGGGCTTCTCACGAGTGCGATCTCGGCGTGATAGT